ACAATGCCAAGGTTCATCAACAATAGAGCACGAAGTCTTATAAGGCGATCTCGTCGAAACGTTGGCCATAGAGAGTTTTTAACAAGAGTTTTCAACATATTGGTCTATGCTCAGTCAAGTATGCGATTTTTAACTTCCTGATCCAAGATTAATAAACAATCGAAGTTTAAAGACTAAATGACTGATTACACAAATTCCATTTCATTAGTCCTTTTTCTCAAACCAAAAATTTTCTCCATCTTTTTTTTGCCCTCCTCGCAATCAATCAAACCACTTCGTAGTATTTGCATGAAACACCTAGCAATTATCTCATGTCAATCACGCTGCTCCAGCGAATGTTGCCAAGTTTCCTTTTCCACTTCTCTCCGTCCACCTACACCCTCAATCATAAATAATAAACTCACCAAGTAATGTTCCTCTTGCTAGGGGCTTCTCGTCCGTAGACATCAAAGTTTTCAGAAAATCCGAATAGACCATAGGCGTCGCACCAAAAATGGCGATTTCCTAGAAAATAAAACATTGACAAGCTAGTATTAATGATAAAAAAACACAATACGAGATTATTCAAAATCAATAATGAAAATTCTTGTGAGATTCTGAACGACTTTCCGACTCTTGGCTGAGATATAAATAACTCTAAGTGTGCTGTTTTTGCTTCCTTGATCAAACCTCTAGATCTCTTGTGGCCGAGTATGCCTCTGTATTCCCTTCCCTGGCCTCTCTCAAATTTCTACTATTTATCATAATTATTGTTCATTATTATTTTACTTATTTATGTGTTTTGTTATGTTTCAAGCACCATGCACATTTTTGAGCTTCTACACCTTGTTTGTCCGATGCACGGAAAACGATGCCACTCTCTAGCTTTACATCTCCTTTTCTTATTTCTGGCTATTCTCAAGTGGACACTCTTCTAGCAAACACTTGACAAGCTGGCAAGATACTTCGATGTACCTTTTTTCCACCTATACAAGTCGATATGTCCTGTATGGATTATTCTCCTTAATTATCGCAGCACAAAGAAATCCCACTAGTACGTCATACCTTCCCATTTTGGTCGTCGTCAAAATTAGGCTTTATTGTGTTGTTGACAGCAATTCTAGCGCCAAGTCTTTATAAGAAAATTCGTAAGTGCCCATGCTGACGTGTACACACCTACTTTGTTTTCTCTTCTACTCTTACTCGGCTCTCTCAGTTCCCTTCTATGATAAAACTCAAGAAAATCTAGGTAATTAGGCTTTTTATGTGAGATCTTACGGAGGGAAGATCTTCATCAAGCCATTGCCCAAGCAGCAGCTCATTTAGGAAATTCGTGGCAGAGATATGAACTCTCGCCCAGCACCGTAACCTCTACCATACCCCGAAAGGAAGAGCGCGATAAGGCAAAATTTCCAATTTACTGGGTCATAATTGAAATGAACTGCTGCTTGTGCAGGTGCCTTACTGACGGTCTCCTCCGTCATTACAAAAATCAACTGCAAATTCTCCCCCAGACCATCCCTACCATACCTATTGTGGGAGTACGGTGTGGGCGAGAGTCCGAAGCCAGTTTACTCAATTATGAATTAAGTGAACTGCTGCTTGAGTAGGTGGCTTGTTCAAGGTCTCGTCCGACATCACAAAAACCAGTTCTATCTAAACTCTTGCCCACTACCGTAACTCCAAGCATTGTATAAGAAGGAGTACGGTATGGGCGAAAGTTCGAAGCTGAATCTCTTGGCATTGAAGAAATTTCATGAGCTGTCTTTTGCGCAGTAGCTTCTTTTAAGCATCTTGATCGCTTATCCATAGAAGAACCCAAATATAATTTTTAGAGGACTCTGCCTATCCCAAAGCTCCCTCCTCTGCAATTTTTATCGGTCACGACATCAGAAATTAGCTTCGGCCCACGCTTGATTGAACTTCAATTAGGTCCTGACGTGATTTAGTCTTGGCATTAGTGTCCTTACGACCTTACCTCGGTCAATGTCCACAAATCTATAGCGAAATTGATGGTTCGGAGCTAAGAATACATCCCGTTTATCTTGCAACACAGATTGACACCGTATCCGGACATTTGCATCGCAAAGATTCACCACACCAATCTTAATTTTGTTCAATTAAACTTTTTACAGCTTAAATGGTCATGACAGAAGAATCTTGAAGAATTCTAGAAATTTTCAAAATTACCTCATTCTTCTTTCTTCCTTTGGCTAGCACAGCTGAAAACGTGATCATCACCAATAGCACTGCCACCAACTGCATCCTAATCATACTAAAATACTTTTTTGAGCACTAAGAATTTTTGAAAAGAATAAGAAAACGCGTAGTCGAAGGTTATCGAGCGAAAGTCTGTTTCGCGAATTTTATGCCCCTATAAAAAGTAAAGAAAAAACACAACTATAAACTGCGGTCGAGCAGGGAGAAGTGAACTGCTCAAACATGTGCCTTCCGACGTGTTTATTTTACATGTGAGTAAAGAGATGTGAAAGTAAAAATAAAATTTTTTTTCTTTGTCATGGAACCCTAAATTGGACATGACATTTGCTATGAATGAAACTTCATCAAAGAAAACATTTGCGCTATCGATACACTCGGCTAAACAATTACCACATCCTGCATATTTTTTGTTTTTTGCAGTAAAACATGTCTCTTTGGTAAAAA